TTTTACCCATAAAATTGTTGCTACTCCACTGTTGTCTGTTATCACACTAATCGTAACCGTTCCAAATAAAAAAGAATATCAATTCGTACCCGTACGACACCAACAGCAGAAAGCAAAAAATTGATATATTTAATTCCTCGACAAAGAATTTCCCACCAAATTTTTTATACAATATTCTTAAATAAACAAATTTCTCGGAGCAATGGGCCATGACCAAGCCACTTAAAGAGGCTCGGTGGGTCAAAGGTTGAGTATCACTGAGCTAAACAAAATATATCTCTCAGATGACTTCAGCGCCTTCTATTTATTTTACATTTAATTTACAACACTGCTTACTTCTGCATGAATTCCTTCAAAATATCAAGCTTAAGTACAAAATTTGTATCACAGATCTTTCTTTTCCATAAATATTCTTATTCAACTTTATGTGACATAATTGCCTTATTTCATGACTTGAGTGCATTAAAGAGCAACAAAATGTTTCTCAAATAAAAAGAAATCAATAGTTTTTGCACAAACCAATAAACAGTTTTCTTTCCAGTGATTTATCCAGTCAGAGATTATTAGTTTAGATTTCGAAATTTATTTACTCTTCTATATTTAGCTACTTATACTAAAATATGCTTAAATAAACTTTGAATAGGAGTACTCTATTAGCATATAAGCAAACTATCTTGAGATTCTCATATATTAATGTAAAGTTTCAACTACAACAACAACAACAACAAAAAAAATTATTACACCCGTAAGAAAAACGAGTTTTTTTTAAATATGTGTTTTCTTTTAAACTTTATGAATTGGGTAACATAATTTTGTATACCTTAAATTTTAAGAGCGAAAGGAAATGTTCAGTCAAAAAAAAAAAAAAAAAAAAAAAAATGAATTTATTCAATAATTAACCTTACTTAACTCAATAGCGCAACATCCCATGAGGGTCAAGCCTACTGTGCCCAACTCAGTATACGTGACCTTGAGTCCTGAGGGGCATGAGCAGATGTTCCAGTAAGGTGGTCAGTTTGACGTGAAACCCCCAGTGTTAAGTTCCCAAGAAAGCTTGGTACTTATTTGTCGACCCACTGAAGGATTGAAAGGCTGAGTCGACCTTGCCCAGCCCAGGTTTGAGCCTCGTACCTGTGGTGTGGAAGCGCGATGCATTACCACTCAGCCACTGGGCTTATTCAATAATTAGTTTCAATATTTTAATTTAAAGGAGGGATAGTTTAATTTCCTGGTTTCAATATTCAACTGTTTCACGTTGAAACACTTGGAATCATGAGTAAAATTTAATTCTTCAAATAATTAGTTTTAATCATTTGATTTTTATTAATAATGATTAAAGGATCGTATTGTCATCCAAAATAATCGTGTAGAGAAAATTTCAGCTCATTAAGCTGTTTAAAATGCCAGAGAAAGTTTTTTAAAGTTTTGACCCAGACATAGTTACAGTATATGTAGAAAAAACCCATCAAAATGTGTATAAGTACTTTAATATTTTATGTTTTTTATTCACATTTAAATGGAAAATGTGTTTAAATCTCAACGGAACTAACTTGTTAGGAAGTTTAAAGTAATTTAAATATTTTAGACTTACATAATTAAAATACTTTTTGAAAGCAATTTAGAAATTTAAATTGAGTACTTTAAGATAAATCAGCTTTTTTCTTTTTACTGGGTGCTTTTTTTTCGCAGAAAAAAAAGAAAAATGGTTTCTTCAATTTTTGTTTCAAAAGTACAAAAATCATGGCGTATTTTTCAGTATTACATTGATCAAACATCTTATTCCATTACAGTTTATTTACACTATTTTTTTAATTTTTAGTTTTGATTTCAACTTAGCAACTATCTTTGTATCAATCTTCTACAAATATTGCAGTATCTAAAAGCGTGGTGATAGGACATATATATTAAAAAGGGGCAGAAAATTATATTTACATACGTTCTGATAATAAAACTCCACTTACATACTTATTCTCTAAACCTTGCTAAAGCGATAATTTATAAAATTTTGAATGATTTTTCACATTTATAGAGCGTTTTGAATTTCTCTCTCTCATAGGGGTAAAAAACCTTATTAAGAAGGTTTACAAAAAATAAGATAATATCACCTATTTCCCACTCTTTTATGTATTAGGAAAACGCATGGGAATTTCAGATTTTGAAACATAAATGTAAAATTCCAAAAGTAGATTTTTCTAACTATATTAATTATGTATTATTAATTCATGCTAATGTTTGACTGATTAACCCTATGTCTACCGACGCGCGGTACTTATAAGTACCACTCACATTAAAATTATATAGAATAACCATTTTTACAAATTCTCTGATGATACTTAGCAGGGATAGTCTTTTAAATCCATTCTTCCAAGATATATGACAGCACGGGTTCTATGATGAGTATTTTAGCGGGGAAAGCTAATAATTGTACAGCAGAAATTGGGTTTTTAAATCACAGATTGATCGGTTGGCGAAGATTGCCATTTTTGTTCCGAAAAAGTATTTAATCTCAAAAGGTAAGTACCTTAATTTCTTTTTTTTTTTGTATGTTAGTTAAGGCAGCGTTTCTCAAACTGGGGGGCGGGCCCCCCCCCCCTTGGGGGCGTGACAATTCTACTAGGGAAGGGGGGCGCGAGCATATTGAAAAGTCAAAAACTAAAGATTATTTTTTAAAAAAATTATTAATTTACTGAAAGTAAACAAACAAAATTCATTCTGACATAAAAAATGAAATACACATTTACGCTGAGTATTACACTTATAAATATATCAGTGCTATACAATATGTATTTTATAATTAATTTACCAATACTAAGTTAAGTACAAGTTTAATAATTACCAGTGACCCATTGGATGGTCATATATAAAATTATATACAAAAATTAACACTTATCTTGATAATTCGTACAGTTTATAATAAATCCCTTAGCTGCCTGATTAAAAGTTATGGGGAGAAAAGGAATAAATAAAAGAGCAATAAAAAAGAGCTTCTGAAATGAATAAATTCTACGCAAACACTGTGAAGATCCTTTTATTCAATTCCAAAGCTTTCGGAATAATTTTATCGATAACAGTTCACAGAGAAGATCGTACTTCGAAAAGACGTATATATACGTTCGGTAAAATTAGCGCACTTGTGAGTGAGACGTTTATATACGCCAGTAGCACTTAAGAGGTTAAAGTCGTATCGTAGTTTTAGCATCAAAATATAGTGTATTATTGAATTCAATACAATGTTATTGTATGAGGAGGGCGCGATGAAAATTATGATTGAATATTGGTTTCGCGAATATTGAAACTTTAAGAAGCACTGAGTTAATACATTAGAAAACGATTTGACTATTTCTTTTAAGTGAACAATGTATAGAATTAATTGTACAGCTGAATAACTTTGTGATATAAGTGCCGACAGCACACTGGATGTTAGTTTTTTTTCCGTCCGTGTTTTTTGTTCTGTTGTAGCGTCATCACTATAATGCAATAGATTTATGCTTTGTTTTTGGCATTTCTTTTTACCTTAATTTATTTATTTTGCTTTTTCATTGTTTTATTTTAACGTTTTCACAAAAAATTTTGAGCTTTGAATCTGAGCTTGTTTCAAAATTAACACATCTTAATTTTTATCTGTATAACTGAGATCTAACAATAACTGGAGATTTTCAGGATGCTATTATTATTATTTTCTTTTCTTATAAAGTCTCGGAAAAAGGATTTCAAGAGGCTTTGGATTTATTACTGAACCTACCATCTAAAATCAGTGATGTAGTAACAGATGATTTTTCAAATGATGAAGTCCCGTCAAATAATCTGCTGGTATTTTCGTTAGATTCTTCAGATGATGTTCAAGAGATTGAACAAAACATTCAATAGTTCATGTTAAGAAAATTCAGTATTTCCTACCCCAGAATGTAGTGCTTAAAAAAACATTCAATCGAAACCTCACTCAAAATGCACAACGTGTGATGGATTTTTGTGTATTGATGAAAAGGAAAACTGTTCCTTTGAATCTAATCAACTTAAGTTTACGTGTAAAACCCGCTTTTATGTGTAAAAAAAGTAAATAAATTTTAAAAATTTAATAATTCTCAAAAATAAATATTTTGTGTTGTAAAATACTATTGTTCTCTGGTTGCTTATAGCATTTTTAAGAGTAAAAACTGCGTTAAAAAAGTCCTTCGATCTTTTCGCATTATGAAAATATTTTAGACCTTTGTGTACTGACGGTATACTTTTAAGTACCAATTTAATTAATTAGTTCTAACGGATTAAATTTCCCAAAGTTGAGTATTTTATTTATGTATGTCTCTTATTTTTCAATGTAGTGATTAGAAAAAAAAAGCATGAAAAAAATTACATTAAATCATAATGCGGTAGATAAAGGGTTAGCATGCTTTTATATAATGATTAATTTTGATTGAATTTTATATTAAATAAAACCGAAAGTGTATATTTCTTAAAAGTAACAATGTATTTATTTTTTCCCCACAGATACTCCAATAAGGGTAAACGTTAGCATTAGAGATGCAAATATACGTTCTATAGATGAATCAGATATGGTAAGTGCCACGTACTTGTATACATGTAACTGCTGTTATGTATGAATTATTTGTAACAGCTGTTATGAATAAGAAAGCAAAAAAAAAGGGGGGAGGGGGTATATTACCTTTCACTTATAGATTCGGTTGTATTCCATTTTAATGCACCCTTGGCGACAAGAGCAATTTGGCGTCAAAAATGGCGATTTTACCAAAGCGCCACCCTTAATTGATGACAGGCAGATTTTAATTTCTAAAGATCTTTTGGGCAATGTCTGTCATGTAATAAACATTTTTATAATTATGCGGTCCACACACACATCTCTTAGAAAGTACTTTTAAAATCATCATATTTTAATACTTATTTGTGTATACATTCTCTACATATGTATGCGCTTTCATCCCGGTACTTAATCATTCACCGTCGACTCATTTTACCAAGTCAAAAGGCATCGCGTTTTGTTTGCCAACGGCCATACCATGTTGAAAATCACCGGTTTTCGTCCTATCACCGAATTTAAATATCGTTGAGAGTGGTCAGTACTCGGAAAGATGACCATTTGCGAACACCACGGGCCGTTGGCATTTTTGAAGCATAGTCCCAGAATTTATCTAAATAATTTATTTCTAATTCTTTCTAGTTCTAATTCTTTTTAATTCTAATTTTTTAAAATTCTTTTTCTATTCAATTTTATTCCTTATTTAAAGTTTTCTTTTTTACTGAAGATAATCTCTAGATTTTGCATTTCGACGTGCTCGAACTCATCAATGATTGTTCGAGTTTCTTTTCCTAACTTAAATGTAAAAATAGCTAATCATTCTGATTAGCCAATCACAGAAGCTCCTCTCGAGACAAATGTAGAAAAATTTTTCCATCTAAATTTTTCTCATCTCACATTCGGATTTCTTTCTTGAAACCGGATTGGCTAGGCTCGTCCCTCCCACTCCCAAACAGGATTTTACTCCCAACTTTAACCTCTCATAACACATGCAATTTCTGACACACGAAAGTAATTCTAGTCTTCAATATTTATTGTATTTTACTATCATAATATTCAACATCTAAAAATGCCAATTGGAAAGCATTTATAAAGTCATCAAAATGCCATGAAAGGAAATAAAGATTCGAAAGAACCATTGCTCCCACTCAACCCATTACCAATACAGGCAAGTGTTATGTTTTACCATGCAAGGGAATGGATTTTCACCATTAGCTGAATATCATGGCATTTGGCGATGTTTCTTGATTTGATGGTATAATACGTCTGAGTCACATTCTACCCTCTCCTTTATGGTGCTGCATTTTCTCTGTATGTGTGTGTGGGACCTATATAAATGCCTTTTTCAAAAACTTATTACTGCATTTTCAGTCCTTTTCAGTCACAATTGAATTATGGCAATCATGGGATGACTATCGCCTTTTGTATCCATCCTGGTTAAAAAAGAACTACCAAGTTCTGGATTCCCACTGGTTGGAAAAGTTGTGGACTCCAAACATATACTTCGTGAATGCTGTCGAAGGTAAAACTAACAACATCATCACTCCCAGCAGTTTCTTCTGGTTGGGTCGGAACAAAAGAATATTCTATTGTTGTAGGTGAGTTTTTTTTTTAACATTTAAACGAATTTTTCAAATGATGATACTTAAAACTATTTCACAGATAGAGAATTTTAGATTTTATTGAACTCTAGACACCAACCAATCGCGCGCGCGAGTCTCTACAAGATCTTGGTTGTGGTCACGAGCTCGTGGTTGACAAGTCATGAGTTCGAGCCTAGTGCCACTCAAGACCACCATTCAGAGAGGTTGATGCAAGTTAAATCTGTCATGGCTCAAACGTTCTCCCGTTGACGCGGTGTGGTATTTTGTAGAGGAGATGCCAGCTCAGGTGTCGTTCTCGTCACTTGACCATGGTTCAAAATTAAGAGGTCCGTCACCGATAACCCTCGCGTTGCTTTGTAGTGCGAGGTTAATAAACTCTGTAAAATCTGCCCTCTCTTGATGGCATTTCTTAGTATACTCTCAAAAATCTCATTTAAGAATCGGTTTCCAAGTGCATTGAAGAACTTTGAGGTTTATAGGTATTGGGTTCTTCGAATTAGGTCATACAAAAAGGGGTTTCTTTTGTGTGTGGTTCCTAGTTATTTATGATTTTTTATGTCAAATCAAGTGTTTCTGCGATTCTTTACGATACCATTCTGTCATATAGAACAGGAGTGGCCAACAAGTCGATCGCGTTTGACCGGTTGATCTCGAAAGCGAATTGTGTCTATTGCTTTAATGTGT